ATTTATTTATTGACAACTTTATTTAGCAAAAATAAAAGATCAACTAGAAATTGCATAATTTGTGCTACACCTTTTACGTTTTCGCGTTTTATATATTGGAGGCAGAAAACTCATGTAGTTAAAATTGCGTACTCTTCACTTCAACGTGCTGTTGAGAGTTGTCTAGAAGAATGCCACGAAGAAACCGAATGCTACGAATGCTTGTGATYATCTTAAAAGAACGTGATTTTGGCTCAAATGAATGTCTGTTTGCAAAAAAGGAATGCATTTTCCCGTTATTGTTTATCGGTCCGGTGCTAATATGTCTGCATATTTTGCGGTAATGAACAGCAAAAGATGTATTTTAATGAAATACACAAGAAAGTCCTCTGCTACGCTTCGTACGACTCTTACACTCCTTTAAGCAACCTCCAGCGTGCACCCAAAATTCGATGGATGCACGCTAACCAAGTACCAATCCTTAAATTAAATATCGTATTCATTGCATGAATGTCTATTGTTTTTAATGAATATTCCTTGGAACTTATTGGTGCAGTAGCATTCATGCTATTGTTAGTTTATTTTTCGAAATYRTTTGTCTTAGGACAAAACGAATTGCTAAGAACGTAAATGAATGTTCATGAATTTTAATTTTGTTATTGAATATTCGCAGCACTCAATTGGGTATGGAAATGGTGCAAATGATTGTATTTACGTTTTATTGACTGACTTTTTAGCACAAATGATTGCGTGCTTGCTCGTAATTAACAGCAAAAGCTCTACTACCTAATACCACAGGTAGCAGGGAAAAAAATTACACATTGGTCGTTCCACTGCCTGTTGCCAGCATTTCATAGCCTGGGGTTACGACTAGTTATTAATGAATTATTTATTCATTAACTCCTAATTATCTTTCTCTTATACCACGGTACTTCTGCTCTATTTCCCTTACCTCCCCACATTTTAATGTGTTTCCAAACCGGTTCATTGATACATCGATCTGGTTTAAACCTGTATTCTTCCTCCATGTTCCTCCAGTCAAATAGTTTTGAGTATTTACAAAGCTTGTTAAAGGGAATGATTTCTGGAACATCATATATAACTTTTTTTTGTAATCTAAATTGTTTCCATATTTCAAATGCATTACTGGGGTATACGTTATGAACGCCAATGTAAGATTGACAAAGCTGATCAGTAGCGTATTTCCCAGACTTCATTCCTTCGTGTAGAAGGCGAGTATCATGAAAATAAATCACGTGATCAATCCGTTTCATCCACATGGCAACAGATTGGTCCCCGAAGGGACTGCAGAATAAATCATCTCTGTGTTGCAGGATACTTTTAATGACATCTTTGGAGAGCATTAGGAATGCTTCATCCGCCCTCACCTGCCCTTCTTGCATACAATGGAAATATCCCCAGTAAAGCCTGCAAGACAAGAAAAAAAGCTTATTAAGGAATGATAAAAAGGTAAATTATACACCGTGAAAAGATGAAAAAACTTACTGACGTTTCGTTTAGTAAGTTTTTTCATCTTTTCACGGTGTATAATTTACCTTTTTATCATTATTGTTTCATTAGAAACACCGACGCAGCTCACACTAGTTTTTATATAGTTATATCTTTCTATTAAGGAATGTTAATTCTAAGCGTGCGTAGATGGGAACGAACTGATCCGGTTGCCGAGATTTTTGGGAGGCTCTGACATGTTATACAATCTTCGCGATTGGGATACCTGTGTTATTATGAACAATTAAGATGCGTTTCCTGTGGCCACTAGACTGCCTCCGGAACGAAAAAAAAAGTGTCCGTTAGCGCTACCCGGAGGATCCGTTGAATCCACTGGAAAATCAGGTCGCCGACAAGGAATCCTGTCGGAGTATTGGACATGTGCAAAAATAACTGAGGAGAAAATGCTGTCTTCGTAATTACATGCACAAATGGTTAGACTTTCAAGCGGCTCGGATGACTACTTTAAATGGCGACGATTCCGTCTCTCCACACTTCATCAATGCTAACCAATATAAGAGGGACGTAAGATATCCACTGAGGACGCAAAGAAACCCAGGCAGTGACCACCCTCGGTGCCTACACTTCATACCCACCGTCTCTCATGCTTGTAAATTGAATAAAAAACCATTATGCCATTCACAACTCAATGCCATTTACAACTCAACATCGGTAGAACCTTTAAGATCCTTTGAACATTGCTACATGTTTTTAATATTATCACATGATTATTAAGGGCATAAATGTTAGGGTTTTCTATATAGTTAAAGTGCAAAGAGTGGTTTTAGGTCGTTCATATATTATTCATATTTTAGCTAATTCTATATATCTTATGTAATTGCTTCTGATTCACTATGTAAATAGTTTCAGTAATCCAGGATTCAAGAAATGTTTGTAAACTAATGAGTTAAGTTAATGTTAGACTTAATAAGGTTTCGCATGGCGCCCATAAGGGCTGGCTGTACGTATGAATTCAGAAATCCAATTGGGCTTAGTATGTACTAGAATAGCGACACAAGGATCATAAATAATCATCATTGTACATAATGCATAATAACTGCACTGAAACATAAACATAACCTTAAAGACCGACATAATCATCATAATAAGAAAATAGGCAAGCATTCTTTTATAGTTATGATTATCTCCGTCTTTAATTTAGTTTTTTTCCTGTTTCAATGCAGTCCCACTATGACATAAGCGACATAACACTTTTACGATTATGTACAATAATTATCATGTATGGTCTTTCTGTGGCTAGTGGGTACCAATAATAAAAATGTAAAATAATAATAAACGTTTTTTTTAGTATTTGTAGTATTACCTTAGTGCTTTTCTTGTCTTTAGTTCATTGACTAGTCTCTCTAGACAAACCAAATAATCATCATCTAGTCGGAGAAGAAAATCAAAGTCATAATTACTAATGGACCAGTCAATCAGCCATAACATCCTCAAGCCAAAGTTAAGACCACGAGGTACAGTCATGAACTCAATGTCGTTGTACTTTGAGTGTTCTTCAGTCAATATTCCTTTCCATTTGCGATCCATATTTGATAAACTATCAGTGAAAAAACGGCAGACAACGTTAGGTTTCTTCTTGCAAGCATCATTCATCCAAGTTTGCCTAATGGCTTTTCTGCGATCCTCTCGAGTTGGTGCACTTACTATTCCTATCACTAAGAGAACTTTCCTTTTGAACTTTCCTTCGTTGGAACTGGAAATGTGTGCTTCATGCGGCGAAATCATATTCTGATTTTCTTTGGATTTTACTGGCTTTAGTTTCTCGTCGCTCGTATAAATATATGAGCCATAATAATCACGGAACGTCCACAGGACGAGGAGTGTCGTGAAAATAAGCACAAAGAGGCACAAAAGTTTCTTGAAGTGCATCTGGTACCATTGCCTTCATTTGCAAGGTCTAATACCAAATATAGAGCAGTAAGATAATGCACTACATTTGGTTGTTTCTTAGACTCAATCGTTTCTTAGTGTAGCATTTACTGCTGCATGCATCACTGCATGCTTTTTGTCAACAATTGCTGTGTTTGAGATATTTTCAGGTTTGTTGGATGTGGATAATGACCAATGAGCACGAGGAACACCTATGTTGGGACCCAGACTCTCTCTGAAAYATTTCTTCATTTTGAAGTGCGCCGAGTTTTTTTAACTGACTTTGAGGTGTTTGGAAATCGGAGGAAGAATTCTCTCAAGTGTTTGATATTACTTCTCAAACTAATGAATATTTCTTGGAGAAAATCAAAGAAAAAGTTTACGAAATTTAATGCAAATTAAGAACACATTTCCAAACCACCATCACAGTAGTGATTTGCTTTGTTTTCTCCTCATTGAATATTCATGAGTATGAGAATGTTGTGCCTTACACTGCGAGGATCAGCTCAACTTGATACATTACAACCGCAGTACAAATATAAAGTTAATATATATTCTTTAAACAAACGCATTAATAATTCATGAGGACAACACTGACAATAGATATCATGCCCGTGAAGAGTTTTATGTAATATAAGCATTACAGATAGAGGGACATATAATCGACATCACCAAGAACTGYTTCTTTAAACTAAAGAATATGTACAACATTCGACGCTGCATCAGTGACGACGCTGCCAAGGTCTTGGTGCACACAATGATCACGTCCAAGCTRGACTACTGCAATGCTATCCTATCACTCGAACCTGGAAAAACAGTCACATTACGCCTGTTTTGAAAGATCTACATTGGTTACCAATTAAATCAAGGATCGAATATAGAATTATCATCATGGTCCACAAGTCTCTACATGAATTAACACCAGTATTCGAACGTGCTTCTACACAGAAGGCAAAAAAAAAGCGCACGCAAGGACTATGGAAACAACGATTATTTGATCCCCAGATTCAATAGAAGCACTTTTGGTTGAAGGGCGTTCAGCAACTCAGGCCCACGACTTTGGAACAAGCTTTCAAATAAAGATTTAAAGAACACCAGAGAGTTAAAAACTTTTTAAAATGGCTTAAAAACTTATATCTTCATAAACACTTGGTTAGATATATTATTGTAATATAGTCAAATAAATCCGCGAGATCTGATTGTGTATGTCGCTAGTTCCTTCCTTTGTATTCTCGATAGTCTTCATCCCAGCATAGACTTTACAACTGAACTTTCCTCAGATAATTCAATCCCATTTATTGGTACGATTATAAAGATTATATATATTATATATTATATATTATTAATATATTATATATATTAATGCAGACTCAAGTTTATTACTGACAAACCTACTGATACTGGTCGATTGCTACAGCTTACTTATGACTATGCTACATCGTGCGAAGGAACTATCATCGACAAAAGAACCCTTTATTAACGAATGTAACCATTTAAGATCGACGTTCACACGCCTTGGCTATCCTAGTGCTCTGATCAACTCTATGATCAACAAGTTTATCAATGATTTCTCAACAACTAATTGTTGTCTTAGTTCACAAACAAAAGTTGATGATACAAATAGTACGAATAAACCCTTTTATAGATCAAGTATCGGCCAAATCAGTATAAAAAAAAAACAATTTAAAGATCTTAGTAGAAATTTTGGCATGAATCTCCAAACTGTATTTACAACCACAAAACTTGAACAAGACATAGTCTAAAACACAAGGAACAAAAACYATCAATTGTTAATCAACAGATTATAATCAATGTATCATCAACATAACGTCTGTAGAAACGTCTGCATTAAACCCTTGTTGGTGATCTTATCCTCGAGATGACACGTAAACACATTTGCTACAATGATCCAAGGTGGGAACCCATTGCCACGCCCTCACACTGTTTATCTTTTAAAGTTATGAAGATTTATAAAATTATTAATATCGACGTAAATGTTAATGCCGTAAACACCAGTTTTTTTCTATTAAAACGATTTTTTTTCTTCAAACTTTCGCGCTATTTCATTGCAATAAATCACATTGTAGTCATCGGCAAAGTGCGTGTGATTCTTACCAAGCCAAGATAGTTACCAAGCAACAAGTAGGAGAAATGTTATAGTCACCAGTAGTAATGGTATAACGCCTCAAGTCAACTTTCAATCTATGTAATAAATCCTAGAGTTTTCTTAGAACTGTCTCACGATTATGTCAAATGCTAAAATAAATAGCCTATTTCGTATTCACGGTGTTCTAAGCATAACAGCAACAATAGCCGAATGTTGTACATCATGAAGATTAGATAGCAAGTTGAAGTCAAAACGCCCAAGCTCACACAAAATCTGAAAAAAAGTTTTTTTTTTTCTAATAAGTTCTGTCTTTTTTTATCAGCACAAAAGTTGATAAAAACGGTCGTCTAGATCTGTTCTTTAGCTGAAGATAGGTTCATATACTTTATATTTTTTAAACCATTGAAAATATGAAAAGCTTACTACACGTTTTCTTTTTGGTTATTTGCATCCACGAAGGGAGATTTTCAAGAGCGGAAGAAAAGAAAGCCAAAAAAGGTACATTTTTATTGTTATCATTATTATTGTTTTTTAATTTTCATTATTATTATTTGGAGAAGAGTATTATTGATTAAGAGCAAAGAAAAAAAATATGTTATTTTTCCTAATTTTATTACGACCAAGCAAGAAGTTTGTGCAAACAATATATCTGTGAAATATTAGTAATACTAACTTACACTATTTTATGTTAATTCTATTGTTTTCTATTGTTTAACAAGCACTATTTTGAACAATTTAGTCATTAGCGTTTCACGGATATAATGAATGCACTCWATCGTAAAGTAACAAATTGAGATTTAAACATTGAGAAACGAACAGATAAAGAAATTATCAAAATATTATTTATGATAATACGTATCTATTTATGATAAGTAAGGCATTGACAAACTTACCTAATTCATCGCTTTCGATATACTATTGTTAAATCTTATAGTCAGGTTCTCTAAAATCATTTTGCTAAAAGGGGACTATTAAGAAATTGCCAACAAAATAAATTGGGCTATAACTTCACTGGAGTATTCATTGAGGGTTTAATAGTCATTAGTTACATTTTTCTTGATATTCCGATGGGAAGCAAGATATTTTTTWAAAAGATTTTTTAACGGCGTGGGTGACGTTGTATACTTAACACTACACATAACTCCTTACTTTTCTTTGTAAATAGCTTCCAGATTTATTCTACTACTATTGATCCCAAATTTATTAAGTTGTGGTAAGGGCTTAACGAAAATAATTTGTGAGTATAACATGACTTGCTTTGTTTCACAGTTTATTCAATACGGAATACGAAACTGGTAGATATTTTGTCTACAAATATTTAAACACATAGCAATGTATAGAGATACTGTTTTTTGGCTGAAGACATTAGTGAAATRCACATTGTAACTTTATTTTGCTGATCAATAATTGAATGCTTGTTCTAGGATACTGTAACGTCAATGGTCAGCAAACACCTTTTCGCCAGGTATGTTCAGCGTTGGTTGTAACCTTTCGTTCACTTATAAACTTGTTTCAAAAAAACGTTTTTGTTACGAGATCTGAAATCTAAGAACGAGTAACGAAACACGCCGCTAAATAATTACAGAGTGATATGAAAACATTAAATTTTATCTGTAGGGTATTAAAGTAAAAAAAGGTAATTTATTAGCCGATAGCAAGAATTAGAAAGATATAGAAAATCAACCTATATATAGTAGAGCCTTTTATCAAATGCTTGAATCAAGCGAGTTTTCCAGTCATAATATGGTAAAACATGATGACAAAAATACATCCTCCTCTCCNNCTCTCTCTCTCTCTCTCTCTCTCTCTCTCTCTCTCTCTCTCTCTTTTCAATGACGATTCTAGTTAACAGCCGCATCGTTATTACTATTAAAAATCACCGGCATTAATGTTATATTTGTGACATTTCCCCTCAAGGCTAGTTTTTAACAACTTTGTTTGCTCGTTATTTTTTCGATTATCATCTCAATAGTAAACACGAATACCTCAAAATTGCTTACAAGAAAATGATAACAAAATTAAGCAGCTCAGGGGTTTTTTTCATACGAAACGTAAAATAAATTAAATCTTATGTATACTTTTTTTTTGTTTGTGAATTTAAAAAGCTCTACCAAAGAAGGCTCACAGTTCGGTTTACGCGTCGGTATATTTTCATAGTTGTCTTAGTTAAGAATTATGGAAAATTCAAAAATGCTTTAGAATTCATTTTTTCATTTTACTTTATTGTAATAGGATTACACAAAACAGGAAATCCAAATATTCTAATATTCACTGTAAATTTGAATATTTCATTTTAAAATATAAACTTTCAGTAACAATACTGCTGCTTCGTCTTCTGGCATTCCTCGGTCTGTGAACGTCAACTCGTCTAAACTCTATTAAATACTTCATCGGCTATTAAGAGCTACCTGAGTACAAGTGAGTGAGTACATATATACATTGGCTGAAGTGTTCTTTACTACTCTCATTTATAGCTCAACTCTAAGCAAAAACAAGACTGCATGAGGGGTGTCCATGACAGGTACGTCAAACTGAACAAAGTCTTTGGTTTGGCCGGGAAAATAATACGAAACACTATAATAATTGATCCCAAATATTTTATTTGCCGTTTTACTGTGCGGATGCACTAACCAAGGGTCGCTAGAAGAGGGTTAACTAATCATGACTTAGAATGAAGAGTTGTGATTGGCTGAAGACAATATGATACTGATTTTGCTCTCTTCTGATTGGCTGAAGTTGTTTTCTTAAACTTTTTTGTTCCAATGGTCCCGGCTAGGGTATCAGCACAGTAAATAGCGTTACAAGTGAGAACAAATACACACAAAAGCCTGGAATGGCGTCACGGTCATTAACGTATGGATTGGAAGTATAAACCCCCAACTGAAAGAACCAACAATCGAATCAAAAAAAAAAAAAAAAACTCACCCTTTAAATAATCATCTGATGTAAAATCAATTCTGAAAGCAATGTAGCAGTTTACGTCGACTTTTAGCAAGCATGATGTTTGTTAGTTTAATGATAGTATTCTCTGATGCCACGTCATCGCCTGATCCTCATTAACTAGACATCGCATCAAATATGTCAACTTCAAGTTCGTGATATTCACTATTTTTTTATCTTAATTGATATATTTTGCACAGCCAATCAAGATCCCATGTCAAAGATGAATATGATGATATCAAAGCCTTAGACTCAACCTTACCAACAGCAAAACGTAATGAGTTAAACGCGTTATGAAAAGTTGTGGCGTATTTCCGAGTTCAATTGCTAGCTCGCAAAAACCACTCAAATAAAGCGAAAAATTCCTTGTCTGCAAACAATTAGTACTTTAAAGAACATGCCCTGTCATGCAGAAAAAGTAAAAATAATCTTTTTACGCTAAAATATCAAAAACCCTGCGTGGCCACCTATTATGCTCATTGGGCTGCTATGATTAGGGAATATATATTGCGCGCGCGTGTCTCTGTACTGTAATATAAACACGCTAGGAGCTGTAGAGTAAGGGAGAAGCAAGCTTACGAACACGAGGCTTAGCCTAGTAGTGTTTATCCTGCTTCTCGAGTGCTCTAGAGCTCCCAGAGTGTTTATATTACAGTACAGAGACATAAGCTGCCGTTTTATAATGCTTTTACAAAATATTTTTTGCGCGAACGTGTCTCTGTCCTCTGATATAAACATGAMGGTAGTCAGCCAATCAGCGCGCGTTATATCTCAAATATTTTATAATTAACAAATAAAACAGCTTTTTCCATGCTCCGTTCAGTAATATAGCACGCAGGAAGTGACGTAAGCAAGAAAAAAGTAAGGAGAAACACGAGCCGTAGGCGGGTGCTTCTCACACTTCAGTGAGTGCTTAAGGCCCTTCCTAAGTGCTTTATTACTGAATGGACCATTTTACTCTTACTGTTACTATTTTTTTCGTCATTGAATTTATTTGCGGAAAAAAGAAAAAAAAGACGGTCGCAAGATCTAGCAGCACTTCGCGCGCGCGGATGGCATCAGTRCTGTGCTCCATTCACTAATAAATCACAGTTTTCGACCAATCAGCGCGCGCGTACTATCATAACTATATAATGATACGATATATTGTATGCATCCCTACCATCTTCTCCTTCAGAATCCGTTATTAATAACATAAATTGTGTGACAACTACACATGTGAAAACCGTATATATTTTACACCACTCTCGTGTTATTTAAATTAAATAACTTATAGTTTACTATCCAATAATTATGTTTGTTGTAGTTTCCCGTAAGAAAATCAGTATGTTGGGAAGTGCAGGACATTACATTCAAGGTAAGCARCGATTACACCTAATCTACTGTTTTCCCATTTCAGACCACATGGCATTCCCTGGGTCCGGTTGTACGAAGGGTGCATGGATAGCACGTTCCGGCGGATAAATCCTTATCCAGTAGATAAGTCCATGCTGTTATCCAAAAAATTTATCCACTGGATAAGATTTATCCGTCGGATAGCGCTATCCAGGCCCCGTACAACCGGACCCAGGAGTATTATTTGTTTGTTTAATAATAATAATAATAATRATGATGATGATGATGATGATGATGATGATGATGATGATAACAACAACAACTAATTCTTATGCAAAATAAAAACCTTACATATAACGGTTTAACAGTTGCACACGAGAARACAAATGAATATAAATACAGCTCAAACAAAGAATCGTATTCTCTAGAGAATGACGTGGTCTAAAATATCATGGTTATGTGTCTAGTCGATCTAGGGCTTTCACACTAATTGGGGACATGTTTCACTCACATGCACAYAGTACCACAACATTCAACGTTCTATGCACACAACCCTAAACTCACATGTTGATTAGTACAAAGGGAGGAAATCGGAGAAAACCCTCGTAGCATAGGAGARAACAATACTTGAAAATCAATTTACATGTGGCGACCGCAGGGCTAGAACCAGCGACCCGACCCACTGGACTCACAGCGACAATAAACAGCGCGTTAGCAGCGTAAGCCACCCACGCTACCCCGAGCTAATTTTTTTCTCGTCCGGCCCTGCAACTCTTTCAATAAGTAAATATATTGTGAGTCATACAAGTAAAGAATTCGAGTAAGAAGGCCGGAGAGCAGAGGAATAAAAAAGGAGGACAGCGAAGAAAGGCATTACAACCGAGAAATGGACGTTATCACGCAGACATGTGCGAAATAAAGAAGAAAAAAAGTACATTGTGATGTCTCTCTTTACTACTAGAATTTCAAGGTCAGCTATTCGAGTTCGTCATCAACAGTAACTGGGAAGGGGTCTGGATCGACTTATCCAACGTTCGTCTTCGTGTGTATGGTGAAATCGGCGAAGGAAGATGGCGGTATGCTTTCAGAGGAATGGTATTAGAATCAGGTATACCATGCGTCTATATCACAGTTTATCATATGGAATTCTGATGAGTTTTATTTGAATAAGCCAATTGCTCAGTCATAAAAATGAAGTGAAAATAAAGGCGAAAAGAAAGCAAAAATGACGCACGTAGCTAGGAGRGCGCGCATGCGCACATGCGTGCTTATGACTATCGCACCATCACGGAGCAACGCCCAGCTGGAGTCAGTTTTCTAGGAAATTATTAATGAAGATACGTTAGTAGAGATGCTTTCATCTCAATCTTCAGTACTCCTCGCTACTTTACAGCGTGACCGTCAAAAGTATGGCAACTTCCATTTGATGCTTTTAAACGCATTATATTTCTAAAACCAGCAAGCGTCCCATGCGCATCGAAATATTTATCGGTTTAAGCCCAAAAGCCCATGGATAGAAGTGTATATGTCAATAGGTGTGGTCATACTTTTGCACTTTGAGCTATAAAATAGATTACCATAATCTCTCTTTATTTTTCTTTTACGTTTTTTATAGGTTTTATTAGGTTTGTTGTATTTTGGTCCTTATATCAAAATTGATTTTTCATTTTCTTTTGCAATTGAACTAGGAGAATGATTATCAAAGTTATATATACTCCTTCTTTACCAGAGCTATCGGTCTGCTGTTCGTATTCAACCATAGCGGAAACAAGCAATATCTGTTAAAGTCTTAACATAAAGTGCGATGGATTCTTCAGTTTATACTTTTTATTTATATTCAAAGAAGCGGACGATTTTCCCGTTGGAATGGAAGTGGTTGTCAAGACAGTCAATGATGACGTCCTCAAAGAACAAAAAAGAGAAGAGGCTGTGAAAAGGGTAAATATAAAACTTCATTCATAAAGCCAAAGCAAAATAAACACATAACGTATAAATGATCCTGGAATAAAATTATGGAATACTCCATTTACAGTTCCGTTAGGTGACCACGAATAATAGTTCCGAGTCGAGGCTGGAGTTTCCGCGCATAGCAAAACTATACTTTTTATCATGCGCGGCAACTCCAACCTCGGCTTAGAACTATTATTCGTGGTCACTGAATAGAACTGTAAAATGGAGTATTCACTTCAGGGATGGAAAGAAGAACTCCAAGACACATTCTGCTTTAACCTCGGATTAATTATAAATTGCGATTTAACATATTGACGTTCCTATACCCATTGCGCAATTGCCCCGAGTTCTTCATRAGTGGCAGAGCTTTTGCTGAACGAAAAGGAACGATCAAAAGAATTTTGTATATTGCGCAAGGAAGATTTTACGCGGATTCATGTAAACGTTGACAGATGAACAGTATTTTTAATCGTTTCATGTGGTGATCCACACTTCCTACATCTTATCTCATTAGAACTGAATAACCAGTTGCCAATAGGATACGTTTATCCTGTTTCACGAAATCAAAGTTATGGGATAAAACCAAGTGGGGTATATAGGATTTTAGAGGGAGGAGTCCCCCACTGCATTTTCTTAAATAATATCCTTAGGTTCAAAAAGGGGCCATAGCCCACTCTACACACCCTAGATGCGCCCTTGTTTGGGTTTAATTTATGTCACCAGATTAAAGAAGGCGGGTCATGACCCACCATACACAACCCAGTTCCGCCCCTGTTTGGGTTTTGTTTTTAGAAAAAAATCATAGGCTTGTCTATCCATAGACACTTTAGCTAGATCCGCCAATAAAAAGGTTTTTTTTCTTTTTTTTCTTTCTTTTCTTTTTTTTTTTTCCTGTTCATTTTAGTCTATTCAAACTCAAATGTTGGCAAGAAAAATATGCAAAGTTGCAGAGAAGAAAGCTGCAGAAGGATTTGGCAAGTTTCCGGAGTAAGTTGATTTCCTGTTAATATATTCTCATGGGGAAGGGGTGTACGTCTCCAATATAGTCCGTTTGCATAATGCCGGTCATAATACTACCACTAACAAAATGCTTTTATAAAGGCCAGGCTGACATTCTATCTTTAACAGAATAATCAAGGCATGGATGTTCAAAAACGACAAACATGTGTGGATGGTGGAAGAAAGACTGGAAGGTCGCTTCAAGAAGCTTATTAATAATAACATGGCATTTATTAGTGTGACTAAAGACGCTCTGGAGGACCAAGAGAAAGCGTCAGCAATTGCACATTTCAGCTATGACTATAGTGATAGAGAAATACTTCTGACTGACTTGCAAGGTATTCAATGATATAGTGATCGCCTAATTTGTTCGATGACAATAAAACACTGATGATGGACTTATAGGATTCTAACTACTAAGATCGATGCTTCATGACTTTTCTTATTCAAATTTGTATTACAAGGTCACTATCACCCCTCACGGGATACTCTCATTAAAAAAATAGGTATCTCGTTACTGTGCGGACACACTAACCGGGACCTCTTCAATAAAACTGACCAATCAGATAACGGTAAACTAGACAGAAATTAAACTGATAACAGTGTTAGCCAATCAGATTATCACGTTATCATGCTCTTATTATATCGATGCGCTATCTGATTGGCCGGTTAAAAATATTGAACTAAATGTCGCAATATGATTGGCTAATTATACTAATTTATCATAGTGGTCACGGCTGGAGTATCCGCACAGTAATGTAAAGGTTAACAAACTATATATCATTTTAAAGCTTATGAACCAGAGAATACGATAAGTTCCTCCTCGAAGGCATAGGCCGAAAGTCACTCAACTCTGCAAGGAATATCTTAGTGGGAGCCTATATTTAATGACGTCATAATTTAAACGTCATAYTTTGGGCACGTGGTGGTTCTCAGTAAAGTTTCTTTGTATTAACGCCGATATTTTTCTATTTTCTATTTTAGGTGTAAATCTGAGATGGACAGACGTAGAAATTGCAACACGTTCTCTCAATGATGTAAAGTAAGTTCGGTGTATTTGGTTAAAGTAAACATCTGAAAGAAAGGGGGGAGAAAAAATAAGAAGGAAAGAAAAGAAAAGAAAACAAAAGAAAACAAAAGAAAACAAAAGAAAACAAAACAAAA